CTTAATTTAGTAAACAACTAGTTAAATGGTTCGCGTGATATCATGGGTTAATGATTTTTGTATAAAAATATATATAAAAAAATTAAGATCTAAAAGTATTAGGTTTTTTTACAAACATACATCCAAGAGTCTTGGGTGTGGCTGCAACACTTGACCCAATAGTAATATTTATAATATTAATAATAATATTAAACTTGCATGATCCAAGTTTAAGTGGGTTTGACTGTAATACCAGACTCAATAGTCTTGGATGCGGTTCTGGCTGCAAAGTCATGTCATAAAAGTGTGATAATTAAATAGATTAGTTAAAAAAACCAAAAAGAAGAAAACAATTAATGAAAAAAAGAACAAAAATCTGAATTAACTGGATTAACCCTTCAAACCAGGTTAACCCGTTAAACCTTAAATTCATGTCGTGAAAGTTTGATAACTAAATAGAAAAAAAAATTTGACGGGTTAACACAAAATTAATTGGCTAGCCCGTCAAACCCAGGATCCGTGTCATGAAAATTTGATAACAAAATAAAAAAAAATCAAACATTAACAAACTAAATTAAATAAAAAAAATTAATTAAAAAAAACAAAAAAACATTAATTTTTTCACTGTGGACTACGGTGTGCAGTCCATAGTTAAAGATATATATATAAAAAAAAACTAAAGACATTAGTGAATAACTATAAACTAATTAAAATAGATAATTATAATAGGTAATTATAATAAATAAATCAAGTTAAATAAAAAAATAAACAATAAAAAACACATAACAATACTTTTAAAAAAATGTTATAATCTCACAACATATTAAAGGAAGAATTCAATTGAATTTAATAAAATAATATTCAAAATACATTTTAAATTCATCCAGGAATATAAAAAATATACCAATCAACAAATTATAAAAGATAAAACTATTAAAAAATAATTAATTTTTTAAAAATCTAAGTTAATTTATCAAATATGCAACTTGAATGATAGAAATAAAACCATGTAAAGGAAATTAAAAAAAAAGAGTTAAAGCTTGGTTCATAATTAACATGCATAAAATTTTAAAAAAATCAATTAACAAAGAATAAAATAAAAACTACCCAACCAATTTCTACTCAGAGTTATAGGCCTTCCATCAATATTAACGACAATAATACACTATATAATTTAATTATTATTAAAATTCTAGTAATTATAAAAGCATATATAAATAATTAAAAATATAATAAAGTGTCAATCCCTTGCCTTTATTCCTGCTATCCAAGCTCTCGAGAAATGGAGTCTTATACATGCTTCTCTTATAAACTCCTCGTTGTTGACTATTACTACCTATATCATAATTTAGAAATTTATCCATGAAATTTTTCATACGACACATCTCAAAAATTAAATATTTTTCCTTGTAAATTTCTATATGCATTCTGCAATTCTGCACCACAAACCAACCTTTATGTCATCAAATAAGTTTTCATTCCATATAACCCAATTCAAATTCACTGGCTCACCGTAATCATTTCTTCAATATTTCTTAATCTCATTGACCTAAAATTTCAAAATTAAGCAAGACAAATTTTATTTAAAAGCTAATATCCTTAATTATAACTTTCTCTTGTACATATATTTCAAGTCCCTTCACCATCTAGCTTTAATTTAAAGTGGAGGTTAGATTATAAAAATTCCCCCAAAATATAAGCTATTATTGAGTTTTAATTTATTTAAAATTTTAAATCAAAATATAAAATATATGTTAGAAGACTAGTTATAAAATTTCACTCCGATTCGATCGAATGATTGAATCGAGAGTTATGACTCTTAGCATCATAATTTATAAATTTTTACTAAAAATATGAATTATTTTATTCAATTCTTGAATAAATTATACTAATTATTTTAATGATAAGAACAAGGTTGCTTATGCCTTATTTTGGTGTGTAATGAGCTCTCTAAAAGAGGAGATTGTATTATGCGTATATAGTGAGACTAAAAAGATTATTTACCCCTTCTCTGAATGGTTTAAAAATATTTATACATTATAAACTTTTTTCTCGAGAAAAAAAACTGAAAAGTTATTTTATCATAATAATTTTAATAATAAATAAATATCACTTTATACATATATTAATAAAAAATAAATATTTTTAATATAAATATTAATAAAATAAAAATGTGGTGAGCCATAAAAGATTATTGTATACAAAAGGTGCAACTTAAATAAGATCTGGGCAAAGCTTTTTTTTTTTTTGGTGGCGGTGTAATCAAATTTTATGATTTTTTTATTTTATTTGTGGGCTGTTTTAATTTGCCGAAATTAAAAAATTAATATATTTATTAAAAAAAACTATAGCCACTCGTACCCCAGGTTCTCCCTTGGTGATGTCAAAGCCGTGTCGAGGCAGAAGCGATGTCACTGTTAAACAATTGACATTTTCTAGTCCCCCGAATAGAGAAATAGCGAGGGAGGAGGCCAGAAAAGGACGAGGAAATGGCTGGTGGAAGCAATTTTATAATAGCATCAAGTGATGAAAGCTACACGTAGCATCAAAGTTAGATATCGATCTGTTTGCCACCAGCTATCATGATAAGCTGTACAAAAATACAAATAGTTTTGAATTTATTTTATTTTTAAATATAGATGGCTCTATCTGATTTACTTAGAATTGAAACTGGATCGGGCAGACGTATATTATTCGGATCAAAATATTATTTAACATAAAAAAAAATTGGCATCGGTAGTGAATTTTCATGAAGGAAAAAAGATTCAGATCCGACTGTGTTTAATAAGTTGATCTTGTTTAATTATAAACTAATTAAAATAGATAATTATAGTAAATAAATCAAATTAAATAAACAATAAACAATAAAAAAGCACATAAAAATATTTTAAAAAAATATTATAATTTCACTAATAAAGGAAGAATTCAATTGAATTTAATAAAATAATATTCAAAATACATTTTAAATTAATCCAGGAATATAAAAAATATACCAATCAACAAATTATAAAAGATGAAACTATTAAAAAATAATTAATTTTTAAAAAATCCAAGTTAATTTATCAAATATACAACTTGAATGATAGAAATAAAACAATGTAGAGGAGATTAAAAAAAAATTAAAACTTAGTTCATAATTAACATATGTAAAATTTTAAAAAAATCAATTAACAAAGAATAAAATAAAAACTACCCAACCAATTTCTACTCAGAGTTATAGGCCTTCCATTAATATTAACAACAATAATACACTATATAATTTAATTATTATTAAAATTCTAGTAATTATAAAAGCATATATAAATAATTAAAAATATAATAAAGTGTCAATCCCTTGCCTTTATTCCTGCTATCCAAGCTCTCGAGAAATGGAGTCTTATACATGCTTCTCTTATAAACTCCTCGTTGTTGACTATTACTACCTATATCATAATTTAGAAATTTATCCATGAAATTTTTCATACGACACATCTCAAAAATTAAATATTTTTCCTTGTAAATTTCTATATGCATTCTGCAATTCTGCACCACAAACCAACCTTTATGTCATCAAATAAGTTTTCATTCCATGTAACCCAACTCCAATTCACTGGCTCACCGTAATCATTTCTTCAATATTTCTTATTCTCATTGACCTAAAATTTCAAAATTAGGCAAGAAAATTTTTATTTAAAAGCTAATATCCTTAATTATAACTTTCTCTTATAAATATATTTCAAGTCGCTTCATCATCTAGCTTTAATCTAAGGTGGAGGTTAGATTATAAAAATTCCCCCAAAATACGAGCTGTTCTTGAGCTTTAATTTATTTAAAATTTTAAATCAAAATATAAAAACATGTTAAGAAGCTAATTATAAAATTTTACTTCAATCCGATCAAATGATTGAACCCAGAGTTACAATTCTTAGCATAAAATCTGGTACTTTATAATTTTTCATTAAAAATATGATTTTTTTTATTCAATTCTTGAATAAATTATACTAATTATTTTAATAAAAAAAACAAGGTTGCTTATGCTTGTTTTGGTGTGTAACGAGTTCTCTAAAATAGGAGATTGTGTTATGCATATATACTGAGACGAAAAAGATTATTTATCCCTTCTCTGAATTGGTCAAAAATATTTATACATTGTAAACTTAGTTTTTTAGCTAGAGAAAAAAGGCTGAAAAATTATTTTATCATGATAATTTTAACAATAAATAAATATTATTTTACAGGTATATTACTAAAAAAATAAATATTTTTTATATAAATATTAATAAAATAAAAATGCGGTGAGCCATAAAAGATTATTGTATGCAAGAGGTGCAACTTAAATAAGATCTGGGCAAAAAGGATTGACTTTGACCAAAAAAAAAAAAACTCTCGGGAAAATAAGTGTTGAGTTTAGGATATAAAATAAGGTTTGAGCATGTGTTTAGCGAGCTCAAACATGATGCGTAAACCTGCAAGCTCTAAGCAGCTACCTCGTGCCTGGGCTTAAGAGTAATGGTTAAGCCCATGAGCACTAGACATGTGGTCATCGTGGGCCTTAGTTTATTAAAAAATTTCAGGAAATCAAGCGTTGGTAGCCTGGGCTCAAACTTGTTTTCAAATCCTCTCGTGACCAAATTCTTCATAAAAATAAGCTTAAACCAACACAAAATTATATGAAAAAATATTGATAAATTCATAATTATTAATATTAATATATTTATTTTTAGGTGGGAAAAATAATCTTAAAATAGTAAGCTCAAACCAACACAAAATTATATAAAAAAATATTGATAAATTCATACTTATTAATATTAATATATTTCTTTTTAGGTGGGAAAAATAATCTTAAAATATTTTTCCAAGTTTTTCCTCAATTAGATATTCAACATCTTATCTAAATTCGAATTGATGCATAATCAATTTCTCTCTCTCTCAATGTTTTAATTGTTACAACTATAGTACCATTCCACGTTATTCGAAGCGGTCTCCTAATGTACGGAAATGAGAGAAGTACATCCTTCTTGAGCAATGCAGTCGCCATCTAGCGTTAAAAAAGAAGAAAGAAAAGTGTTCAGCTTCAAATGGGTAGGAAAACACGACACAGAAGCCATGCCACGCACAAACCACAAATTTGGAGGGAAAGTAGCATTAAAATGATGCACCTCAACCACCACTTCCCGTTCTACATGGCGGGAAACTGTCCGTGCAGTCCTTAATAATCCCATGTAACACTTACAAACTCTGTTTTCTCTCTCAATACACAGACAACACATCTCTCCCTCGCTCTCAAAAAAAGAAAAAGAAAAAAAAAACTACTAGAAATCAACAAAATTCAACCAGGTAGGTTCCCTTTATCTCAGTAACTCGTTTACTTATTTAATAGTGAATAAATAAGTTAGGGTTTCTTAGTTGAGGTCAAGCCCATAAATTTCCCCAAATCAAAACCAACGCTTTTTTGAAGGACACTATCATTAACATCTCCTTTTCTCTGCTTTAATTTCAGGTAGAAATCATAAAGTTTCAAATTTTCGGACTTTACTGAAAGGATGGATGGTGTATTTGATGACGAGGTCGAGCAAACTGTTACTATTGATGAGTACCTCAACAACGTTGAAGCAGAGGAATTGGTAATCTTTCGTTTGTTTTAGCTGAGTGGAAGTACCAATTGTTTTTTTTACCCTTTTGGTTGCTATTGTTGATTTTGTGCTATTTGATTGGTTGCTAGGAGGAAATCAAGTTAGGGTCTTGAGTCATTTGCTTTGTGTTATTTAGGGTTTTGGTACATATGACAAGTCTTTTAATCGAGATTGATGTTTGTATTTGCGAAGTGGGTTGGACATCTGAAACTTTAGGGTACAAATTGGTTCTTAATTGCTAAACAAGAGAGTTTTGATCTTTTTCCAACATTTAGGAAAATCGATAGATATCACAACCCCACAAGTTCATGACTAGACTAACTGAATAAAAGGCAAAAGGTTGATTGGATTATGATAACTGCAGCTATCTCTATTTAAATTTTCTATCATGAAATATGTTAGCTCTAGCAGTAATCTCAATGAAAATGCATTATGTTTCAAACGGATTGCTTTGGTATTGCTCCATAAGATGATGTAATCTTTGATAGTGTGGGTAGATTACATATGTTCAATTAATTGTCTGCTTGTTAGGTTTTAATAAAATTACTCTCTAACTTTTTTATGTGCTTTTTATCCCGGTTGTTGATATCAAAGAATGCAGATTTGGTTTTGGGTGGAGATGAAGGAGAGGAGTGCACTTATAACGTGGGATATATGAAGAGACAAGCTATTTTTTCATGTCTGACTTGCACTCCGGATGGAAATGCTGGAGTTTGCACTGCTTGCAGTTTGTCTTGCCATGATGGCCATGAGGTACTTGTTTTACTTTCCTTTTAGTATAGATGTTTGGTCGTTGATTGGGTTAATTCCTAGTAAATTTATTGTCCCAACTTTCAATTTGATTTGAAACCAATTTGTAAATTAATATTCTCTGAGAGTGAGGTCCTATGACATGATTTCATATTGACTGACTAAAAAGATCCTATTTACTGGCAAAGCACATCATGAGATGAAACAAAATTCTATAAATATAGCTGTCGAATCCTTTTATAATCTTGCGAATGCTAAAAGCTTTGTCATGTGATGTTTGTTACTTTCATGAAATGTTAACAAATTTTCAGGGAGCCTAGATCCAAATTTGAAATATGGAGGCATGATTAAGAGGAAGAGGTTTCCTTGCAAACCATAATGCAAGATTAAAACTAATTTCATACCTTAAAAATCTTTAATAGAAATTGAAAACCACTGGTGGACTGGTGTTTACAAAAATAAAGTTAGATTTACCCATACAAAAACATTGCAACATAATTTTATTTATGCAACAGTTACACCAGAATTGATAAAATCTTCATCACATTCTAGCACTTTTAAAAGGAGGCTGAAAACTTTACTTCAAAACCAAACTTATAATTTGAATGCACAACTTCGAAATTAAGTATTTATCCACACCTGTGGCAGTTCATCAGCATTCCACTCCCCATGCCTTCTCTTAAATACCATCTGTTTGGTTAAATTTATCGTACATTTACTTGTGCCTTTTGCTGTTTCCATGTGGAAAAAGATTGTGGAGTTATGGACCAAGAGAAATTTTCGGTGTGATTGTGGCAATTCAAAATTTGGGGAGTTCTTCTGCAAGCTTTTCCCAAAAAAAGATGTGGAAAATGCTGAAAATTCATATAATCACAACTTCAAAGGTTTATACTGCTCTTGTGATCGGCCCTATCCTGATCCAGATGTTGAGGCACAAGAAGAGATGATACAGTGCATTATGTGTGAAGACTGGTTCCACGAGGAGCATCTTGGTCTAGAGTCTTCCAATGAGGTTGGTAGCCTGGTTGTTCCCTCTTTCATCTCAATACTTTGCCTCTTTCTTTCACGCAATTACTTTTTTGGCATAATTGTTTAGCCTAAAAATTGTGTTGTCGGAGTGGGGATAATTCTCAGATGCATAATAAAGTAGGTTGACAAGCTGATGTTTTCTTCCATGTTCACTTAATTCTTTTATGTGTTATTTATGGCAGGGTTGTTTTGTTGGACAACCATACTTTTAGTTTGTCCCTCTCCCAAACTTTTCTTTTGTAAGTTGGGATTCATCAAACCCTTCACTCCCTACCCTCACTACAGCCTACTGTTGGTAGAAAAATCTGGTTGATATATCTGCAACTTTCATGTGATTCTGTGATTTATGGTTTTCATGGTTAATAAGTTTGATGGTATCATACTTGGCATTATTTTGGAGACATGATCAAGTTAATTCAGTTCACAATGCATGATGTAATCATCAGCGACATCCAATTATTTTGTGTAGAGTCCACAACCAAGAGGTTTGCATGTTTTAGGCTTCTGATTGCACTTCTTGCAAACACAATTTCAATAACTGTCTTCCCAGTTTGAACTTCCCTCCCCAGGACCACACCTTTGTAAAGGGATAGCTGGTTTTTTTTTATAATTTTGGCACTCTTGGAGCCACAATGGTTCTGATTAAGTTGTGTGAGTATGAGCTACCATACATTTCCATGGTTTACAGATCCTGAGGGACGAGGAAGGAGAGCCTCTGTATGAGGATTTTATATGCAAGACATGCTCCACAGTTTGTTCTTTTCTGACACTATATCCTCAGACGATTTGGGAATCTGGGGGGCAGAAAGGTGACACCACTGCTAGTAATGCTAAAAATAAGGGCATGCTGGAAAATGTCTCTTCAGCTTGTGGTTCTGGGAAGCTTGAGATTGATATTTGTGCTCATGATTCTTCTGAAAAGGATAATGCAACAGCTAATTCTAATTGTCAGTCTGTGGCTGCTGGAAATGCATCTGTTGTTGGAGAAAGTTCTGGGAAGAGTAGTGGGCCAAATGACTCAGACCAAAGCACAAAAGATACCAATCTTCATACCACGTGTGTTCTTGGAATCGATGTGGAAGTTACTTTACCTGTTTCAGAAGGAAAACCATTTTTTCTTTCCAAAAGCTGGAGGGACATCCTGTGCAGATGTGAAAAATGCTTGGATATGTACAACCAGAAGCAAATAAATTATCTCCTTGACAGGGAGGACACAATTGCTGAGTATGAGAAAATGGCCAAACAGAAGCGGGAAGAAAAATTGCAGCAACAGGAGGGTGCTGAGTTGAGTTTTTTAAATAAACTTGGCCATATAGAGAAGGTGGAGATTCTAAATGGTATTGCAGACTTTAAGGATGAGTTCTGTTCCTTTTTGGTATGCCCTTGATAGCAAACCTTATAGCTTACTCTGTGATATGCGATCTTGCAAACCAAGCTGAAATAAATTTAGCTTTTCCTCAACTTTAGTTCAAGTTTATATTTTGAAAGCAAATATGCAGCCCTGATGCATGTATCCATGTTTTTCTGCAGGAGTCATTTGATACGTCAAAGACAATCACATGTTCTGATGTCCACCAGATTTTTGAAAATCTTGCAAAGAAGCGCCGGCGAATGCAGTGAGTTGTACTTGGATCTCTATATTTTGGTCATGTATGTTAATTTAACCTCCTTTTGTTGGTTTTGGAGCCGAGCCTCTTCTAAAAGCCTGTGAAGAACTTGATGATTTTAGTTAGCATGCTCCATTAGTATAAACCATTTACTGTGTAGGCTTATGTGCTTATTAACTTTAAGATTTAACTTGGATTTTTCTAGTATGTATTGGAATTGCGATATTCCTTATGGTTAGTGAATTCTCTTGATCTGGTGGTTTTGGCTACTTTCTTTGGTTGGAGGCTAAGGTGTGTGTCCCTTCTTATGCATGATATCTAGTGATTTTCTTGTAACAGTTCCTTTGCACCAGTTTTCATTTTGTTGGTTGCTGGCAATGGCACTTGCTCTGTTCTTGGTCGTGTAATGGGCATTTGAATTTGAGATGGAACAGAGCACTGTGGAATCTTGATACAACCATGCTTTGTCTTGAGAGATCTTTGCATGTCATGCGTGTGATGTTCTGATCTTGGTAGAACGCAAGCCAGATCCTGGGGCCAGCTTAGGTAACAAGGGTTAGGATTTGGTTGTGTTCACACAGATCCTAGTTCACCTTCGGTTGCGCCACATGAGGTTCATCGATCAAGGTCTAGATTGCAAGTGTACTTTGTGAGCCTAATTATGAGTCGAGCTCGAGGGGATGTGGCTTGTTTCCTTTTTCCTTTGCCATGCATGGTTGGTGTGAAATATCGAAAGGATCTGATTTTCTCGTTGACAAACTCTTTCCCTGAGGGGTAGTGTCATTTTGTCAAAACAAGCTGGCCCAAAGTAGGTTGTTGTCGCCCCATTGCGAAGATTTAAGACCAGGTCCTCATGCATGAACAGTTACCAGTCTTACAAAAACATTAAAATACTCGATAAGTTGAGACTGTCGAGTGAGCATTATTGTTTCCACCGATGTTTGGAAAGCGAAGTTTCCTTGATATTTAATAAAACATTGACAACTTCATGTGAGTTGTAAAACTTTGCTAAAGCAGAGCGTCCTAGAATTTTCTTTTTAAAAAGATGCCTTGAACAAGCTTCTGCTGTTGTAATTCACTAGCGTATTGAACGCGCTCTTGCAGCTTGAATAGAAAAAAAATAAAATGAAAGCCACCTTGAAAAATCTTTACCTAACTATTTTTATTTAGCCTGAATTTTAGATTAAATTATATTGGAGTTGTATTTTGTTTATTGGATAGGTTTAAATTAAAAAAAAAAACTTAAATTCAATATTAAAAAGATAAAATTAAACAAAAATTTATATTAAAAGATGGAAAATAAAAAAACACAAAGGAAATAAAAATTTTATATTGTAGGATGAAATTTAAAAACTAAAAACTGAAAGATTAAAAAAAAGTCAAACTTTTATTATATGATAAAAAAATCAAATAGATTTAGTATCAACACCCAATACTAAATGATAAAATAAAAATAAAAAACTTATATTAAAAGATAGAATTGAAAAAAAAAAAAGATAAAAAATCTGTAAAATCTAAAAAAAAAAATCTTCATATTAAAAAATAAAATTAAAAAAATCTAAATAAAAATTCAAAAAAACCAAATAACTAATACAGAAACCCAAAGAGCATGTCACCACAAAGCCTATGTGTGGGTGGGCCTAAGCTTTTTTACTTTTATTTTTATAATGACTTTTTGTTCGTTTTATTTTTAATAAAAAATAGAGACAAACGACATCAAAATTAAATTAATTAATAAAACACCGTGTAGCCCACATTTGACGCGCGCAATAACCATTGAGCCACCATGCAAATATGGTAATGAAATAATTAAAATAATATATTAATCTGGTTTATTGTTTATATAAATATAGTTAAACTGTCCCATGCTTTTTAGTTGTTTTAGTAATAATTAGTTAGATGACTCGGAATGATTTGTTGTGCTTTTTTATTTCTTTCTGGTGGAGTTTAAGTGTGTGTTTGATCTTAGAATTGTTTTTGAGGTCATGGTTTATAAAAAGAAAAAATACTTTTAGTTATAATTAAAAAAAGGTTTTTAAAAAATATATTAGGTTAAATTTATCATAAAATAAATTTTTGCAAGCAAAATAAATGAAAAACAAGTCTTTATCAATAAAAAAATAAGTCATTTTAATTTTTACAAAATAAAAATTTAAAATGTAATTATATATAGATTCAATTAAAAAAATTATTTATCTAACAAAAAAAAATTTTCTTCGTGGTTAGATAAAAAACAAAAACTAGACGATTCTGAACTTTTCTCTAAAACGTCATCGAATGTCATGATTACCTCAAATAGCATGTTCTGACTCTCCTCAATACTGTCAAATAGTCATTATGGGTCGGTTTACAACTGCACGACGGAGACTCATTAAGAAGGTTTGCAACGATAACTGCAAGGGTGCCTGTTTCTCCAAAGAGCCATCAAGGGGTAAAGACATCCAAGAGTCGAGAGGATTTTTCTTGTCCCTCTTTTTTTAGTGCAATCATAAGTTGAAACTAGCTAAAGATGTTGAGATTTTGCTAAATAAATCATAATCAAGTTCTTAAACAACCGAGTTTAACGTTCCCACGACAATGCTCTTCCACAAGATCTGAGGTTCCTATTGAAGTTAACGCTGTACTTCAGCTTGACTGTTTCAGCTCAAGGAAGCATTAGCCTAACAAGAAACTCAGAGATGATATTTTACATCAATTTTTTTTCTGTGACTCTTTCAAATGACCGTAAAGAGCATGATGGACGCATGCATGCATCATACTTGACAATCGAGAATTCAGCAGACGAATCATACTTGACAATCGAGAATTCAGCAGGAATAACTAGTGGCTCCGAACACGAAAATTGAGAACGGAGGAGCTGAGGTCATGCCGATGAACATCAGTACAGACACATGGCCAAAACAGTCCACTTTGTTTACCATATCAAACCTTGACATTGCGCATGGTCAGGACGGATATTCATGTGCATAGTCATGTTCACACCTGTGAACGGGTTTTGTTGACCTCTGGGTAACACGCTGTCTGGCAGAAAAAATTATGCTTTCAATTCTGACCATAACCATGCGAAATTGTGGAAAACAAGTCAAGTGTGCTTCAGTTTTTCAATATTCTATGTCAATAAAAGAAACCATTTCTCCCTTCCCATGTCTCTGAAGTATTCTGATGCTTTAGCAAGATCCAAAGCGATGGCAGACAAACCCGGGTCACTTCAGGAAATTAAAAAAGAAAAAGATGCCCCTAGATGCTGAATGTTTTCACAATGCATGGGAAAAGAAACCAAATAGATTTATTATTATCGTTAGTATTTAAATTTTAAATTCTTGTAAAAAAAATAATCTTTTTATTATTTATAAATGCATTAATTCAAAAATGGAGGGCAGCCGACACTGCTAAGTAGCAATGGAGTATAAATGCTGGTTCAAAGATATTGTCAGCGTGAGACATCCTTCAAGTTAAAATTAGGCATGGTCGTTTAGGAAAATATTCTCAACTTTCTGAATTTTTTTTATTAATGTAGTTGTTTGGATCAGCTTGCGTGCACCATGATTAATTTTACGGATTTTAAAATTAACAACTATATAAATCTGTCATTATATAAACAATTAAGAACTTAAACCTAAAATCATAAAAAAAATAAACTTTTAATTCTAGATTTTTATTATTTTACCATATCATTAAACCTAAAATCATAAATAAAATAAATCCTTTAATTCTAGATTTTTATTATTTTACCATCACCTAAATAGTTATAATTTATGAATTATTAATTATGATTTTGAGTGATTAGGTCATGTGACAATGAGCCTGCTGAAGGTACTGTGCCCTAGCTCTGCTGCAAAACGACAAACTTAATAATTAAACAATAATAAAATAACCAAGCGATGAAAGTTTGAATTCTCTTCATCCAATAAATTACGGGCCTCGTTATTCAACTTTCACTGCGGTGTAGTCTAATAATCTGGAGTTGGTAAAATCTCGATCATGAAAAAGATATGCTATATATTTTCTACTTAAGTGCTGCCTCTTTCTCACAGCTTAATACTCAAAGTCGCTACCATCTCCATTAATTATATTCATAATTCAAGGTCTCAAACAACAATTCTATCGGCTTCCTGTGTCTATCAGGGGAGTAATAAAAACATTTTCGAATCGAAAGGTGTTTTATTGTGTTTGGATATATAGCTATTCCTGAAGAATCTTTCGTTGTTAAGAAGTAAATTCTCCCAATGGGACCATGGATTCTTTAAAAATAGCGGAAAATAATTACAATGAATAAATGTAGAAGCTGATAAGACTCAAGAGACCAGACATGCAGCTCTCTCTTTGGCTAGCACCCAACTACTTACAAAGAAAAACAAATAAATGTACGTAACTAATTTAATAAAATGGCACACAAGTAGTTGTGTCATATTCCTTGAAATTTAGTGTCTCTTAGCAAATAGAAAAATCATTATTCATGTTTAAGAAATTCTACGTAAATTATATATGGGCACCTAACCCCTATAAATACCATGACTCCCTTCCACCTCATATTCATAAGTTGAAGCGTTTGGCACCGACTTTTCCATTGTTGTACCTTTCCCTTTTATTCTTCATTTTTTGAGCTCCCAAAACCATTTTGGGTACTGTAATTATACGTCGAGAGCTTCTTCTTCTTCTTCCCTTTTCACTTCAAAATATGGGAAATTGCATAAAGCCTAGCACAAGAAGGCAACATGAAGAGGATGATAACATGAAGGAGCTTGACCAGGAAACGAAACTAGAGTTCGTGAAGGAAAGTGGTAACTTTGAGAAAGGTTCAAGTATTAAGGTTAAGGTCGTGCTTACAAAGGAGGAGCTAGAGTGGTTACTGTTTCGGCTAAAGGTCAATGGAGGAAAGAAGCTAGAAGATGTTTTGGGAGAGATAGAGAGAGGGAGATCAATGAAAGTTAAGACATGGAAACCCTCTTTGGAGAGTATCGTGGAAAGTCCTGAAGGGCTTGAGAACGAGAGACGAGTCGTTTGAAGAGGATATATAATATAATTTTTTCCCCATTTTGAGTGCTCTCATGTGAGGTTTTTTCATTTGGATCATGACCCAAATGTACATGTAATTATGCTTTTGCTTACGAAGAGCTATAGAATATGGATGAATGGATATATACTTAATCATTATCTGGAAGGTTGTAATTTTTAGCTTCATTATATTACTTTTGCTAAATGAAATCGAGCAGACTTGAAAAATGCTATGCATGCCGACTCCGTGTGCTCAACTGTAAGTTTTGCGAGC